TCTTCGTAGTCTGCTACAGAAGATACCTAAAAAGTCAAAACCAAGATATTTCCAATCTTTTTATAGAATTCAGAACATAGTCTTTGACTACTGAAATTTTTATGTGGGTTTTGGAATTATGGGCCTGGCTATTAAATAATTTTATTTTTGTGTTCATAATGTCTCTTACTTTATCTTACCAATGTGGAAGTGGTTTGGGCTGAGAATTAAATTGAGGACTATTTTGCAGAGATCAGCACTTGAGCAAAATTTGTTTTAAATTTGCCATGTGAAATATAAATGTATACATACAAACATATATATGTACAGTCATATATCACTGTCTGACAGCAAAATACACGAGGTGCCTTTTTTCTTAATGTTGTTTATTGCTCTATACATGTCTGATTCCCTGAGAACACATGCTGTAAACAGTCTGGTTCACAGTAACCATATAAGGATATGTTCATCCTGTTCCTGCCTGTTGATCTCTGTTTATCGAGTGTCTGTGTGTGGAGACAATATTTTTAAACTGGTATTATAAAGAAAATTGTCAGTATTTCTTTTGCATTCAGCTTGATAAGGTGCACTATTAATTCCTGTAGAAAAAGTAGGGGTGAAAATGGTGAGCTTGAAGTTCCTTGTTCTTGACTTAGGATTAAGAAGAGCACTTGTACCTCTTGTAGAGATCTCAGCATTTCGTGGTGGCTTGTCATTGTGACTGTAATTCTAGGGGATCTGACTTTCTTCTGACCTCCATGGGCACTAAGCCCATGGGGTACACATGCACATGTGCAGGCAAAGCCCCCATACACATGAAGTAAATAAATCTAAAAAGATGAAACGGCTGATAAATGTAAAAGAGTTAATGATTCCTCAGGTAGCTGGCCTGTATCTTGATTCTTCCAACTTGGTTTTGCAAGATAACTGTTCTCATTTTTTGGGCTTTAGAGGTATCTTGGTGGTTAAGAATGCTTATTGCCCTTGCAGAGGACCCTGGGTTCAGTTCCCAGCATCCACATGGCATCTCGTATTTTCCATAGCCCTAGTCTCAAGGGATCTATAATCCTCTTCTGCTCCTGCATGTTATGAGGGTCACATACATACACTCAAGTACATACACATATAAAAATTAAAAGAAAATACTCATTTAAAATTAAAATAGTTCTTTTTATGCCAGATTATTAGAAATGTGGAAAAAAAAGAATTATTGAAATCCTTTCTAATGGTGCATCTAAATCTTGTGTTAAAAGTTGTAACATAAGGTTTGGGGGACATTTTATCCTCTTTGCTACCATTCACATGGCCCAGTTTTCAGTGGGCTTATTGGTCACTGACGGACACTGGCCTCCCAGCAGGCATTCTCTTACTTCTGTGTTGTGGCCCTCTGCACCTGTTACTGTTGCCCATGTAGGAAACTCTCTGTCCGCCTAAGGGAGCATTTCACATGGTTAGGCCAGATGCTTCCCTTTCTCTCCTGGGCAGTTTTTAACAGAGTAGTTGAGATCCTGTCATCTCTGAACCATATTTCTTTTCTGACACTAAGGATGGACTTGGTTTCATTTCTAATCCTAAGGAGTGGTTAGAAAGTGTGTAGACCTGTCAGATTCAAAGTTTGCAGTTATTTTCTCTGTGGTAAGTCACTCCCTCCAAGGCAGTAAATGTAGGACTCCTTCCCTACTAGAATCAGAGAAAGCTTAAAATGTCAATAAGCAGAGGGTAGAACAAAGGATATTCAATTATTTTTAATAATTTTAATATTTAATAATTTAATGATTTTTATGCACATTGATGTTTTGCCTGCATGTATGTCTCTAATATCTCATAGGGTGTTAGAGCTACTGGAACTGGGTTACAGACAGTTGTAAGCTGCCATATGGGTGCTGGGAATTGAACCCTGGTCCTCTGGAAGACCAGGCAGTATGCTTAACCTCTGAGCCATTTCTCTAGCCCATATATTCATTTAATATGGAAGATATTTCTTCTGCACTTTATGTCAGTGTTTGTATATTCTGGTACTGCCAGAGCATCTGAATTAGGAAACCAGTGAGCAAAAGGCCTTCTTCCTAAAGTTTCTGTGTAGGAGTTCATGTTTCAAATTTCCTTTTGTTTTCCTTCTAGCAGTTTAAAGGAGACTTGTTTATTGTCAGTATTTCACATATACAGATAATTAATTTCTGAGTTATATATTTGGAGTATTTACTCCTTCCTTTGTAAAGCAGATGAGGACAGGGAAGCTCCTGCTCCACCCCACTTCCTCATCCTCCTCGCCTCCACCCCGTGGGAAATTCCAAGCATGCCCACAACCAGATAACAATAGCTTAGTAGACCAATAAACTGCCAACTCCAGACCAGCTTTGTTCCAGCTATAGTCCCACACCAGTCTTGCCCTAGTCCATCCTTGCCACCATGGTGTCTACCTTTTCATGTAGTCCTAGTAAGTGTCAAACCATCTGTTGCCTTCACTTACTCCAGAACATGAAGCTTCAGCCTTATTTTAAGTCCTAATGCTTTCGGTCCAAGGCATGTAGTATGCCACACAGTTTCTTTAAGAACCCCTTTTAGGTTGTATCTAATGATAAAAAGGTGGTTTCTCACTCTCCTGCTTAAAGCTTTGTTGTCATTCCATCTCTTGACCTACTACCAAAGTCATTGCACTTAATTTACTCCATTTTGCTTTGGTTATTTTTTGCCCTTGGATATCTGCATGACTTCATTGATAACTTTTCCACTCTCATCTGCTCCACACAGCATGTAGCACCTAGTTATTTATCTATGTCTCCCTTTTGTTACGATTTTGTTTGTTTTTTTCAAGACAGGGTTTTTCTGTGTAGCTTTGGCTTTGTAGACCAGGCTCACAGTGATATGCCTGCCTCTGCCTTCCTGAGTGCTGAGATTAAAGGTGTATACCATAACACCTGGCTTTGTTATATGTTTTTATGGCATGTTCTACTTTTTATTGGAATAGTATTTTAGGCCTAGATTGTCGTTGAACATGAAATCCTTTTGCCTCTGCCTTCCATGCACTGAGATTATGGGCGTGAGATTGTAGGCATCAGATTTCCATATTCACCTTTTTTGACTAGGCATTGGAATTCCTTTTGGTTTTGTTCGGTGGCAAAAATTTAACATTAGACGAAAGTGATGAATGATTTGGGAACAGCTACCTCTTGAAAATATCAGTTACAAAAAGATGTTGGAATAATAATGGAAAATCGTTCTGTTGCCCTTTTATTTGTCATCATAAAGATGTAGTTGTATGGCTTTGTGATCATTTGGGTTTTGTGCTAAACATCAACACACGTGTGCTAGAGAACCATGATTTCAAAGACCTTATAGTTAATGGTTTGTATTATTGCAACTATAACATTTTGACACTATATCTGTCAATGTCTGTCTATACCCATGAAATTAGACCTCATTTCTTTTCATGAAACAAATTCAGATACATTTTTTGGTGAGCATTTGTCTTTTAAAATCATGCCTTAGGTCATTTTTCCTCTCTCTCTTTCTCTCTGTATATTTCCCGATGATCATTCTTTTCTCCAAACTATATTTTGGCATCATCAAATACGATTTGCATTGCCTTACTGTTCATGGAAGTATATAATAAAAATTTCATAGAATTTGTATTCAGAATATTTAAAGTTCCCAACTTTCCTTTTTTAGCAGTCTAGCCTAAAGAAATTTTTAGTGTCAATGTATTAACAAATACCTGTGGTAGCGGAAACAAGATTGTTTGCTGTTTTATCTTTGGCTCTTTATTGTTCCTCTCCTGCTCTCCTCTTTACCCATGTGTTTTCTTTTGTTTTGTTCCTGGTTAACGCCATTGCTTGGTGTCTCTAGGCAGTTGCACATTCAGTCCAGTTCTATTGTAACGCTAAAACTGCTTTTAAGAAATGAAATCTTTTTAAAAGTAGGCATGAAGAGAGATGCATAAACAGCAGGAATGACTGTACCTTCAAAGAAAACAGTGAGTTTGTAGAGGATAACATTTAGTAATTGTAGGAACTCAGTGAATGTTAGAAACCTTTTTTTGTTTGGGTTGATGGGGTGCTTGCCCAGCATCCTGAAACCCTAGTTGGATTCCTAACATGAGTGCAGATGCTGTCATCCTTGCAGGATGGAGGCAGCATAAGTTCAGAGTCAATTCTGGACATGACAGTGTGTGCCTTGTAGCCCTCAGGAGGCAGAGACAGGAGGATCTCTTTGAGCTCCAGGCTAGCCAAGGGTACATAGTGAGACCCTGTCTCAAAAATGTTCTACGTTACCTTATCCTCAAAGTGACTTTGAGGCCAGCCTAAGCTGCACAAAACCCTGTTTCCAACAATCACACAACAATAAAAGAAAAAAAAAACTTTTATTGCTTTCACTAACTAAAGGTTCTCTTTGTAGAAGAATGCAGACTAATTTTAACTATATCATAGTACTGAAGAATTATGGAAATTACTTGAAATAGCTGAGAAAGAAAATATTTGAATAAATGAGTTTTTTCTTTGCTTGAAAGTGTTTTCAAATGTCATGCATTTTTATGCCTTCACTGTAGATAGAAGTAATGAATGGGGCATGGGTTCTTGGAATCCATCACAGGTTGCCCTCCGGAAAGTAGGTGTGTCACCTGCTCAGTGACCTAAGGGTGTTCCGACAGAGCCAGTTATTCCTTTTTTAGTGAGCTCTCCATTAAATTTCTACTGCTGTTTTTTATTTTCTTGTTTGCTTGGTTAGGTTTTTTGTTCTTTGTTTGTTTGTTTTTTAATGAAGCCTCTTTCTGTAGCCCAGGCTGACCTCACAAGATCCCCTCCAGCTGAGTTGCTGGGAGCTGCATTCACCAACATGCCTGTACAGAGTTTACTGTTACTTGAAGATATTTCCCAACTCGTGCTTGATCATTAGTTCTCTGAATTGCCTGTGTTAATTGCATGTTATAGCATCTATTTGAGGAGATTATGCTCTTATCACATTCTCCAGTGCACAGTTTGGAAAGGTTTAATCCTTTTTTTTTTCCCCTCTCCTTCCTGTAGCACTTCCTCCTGGAAGTCCCGGCCCCATTACTCGACACGGGTCCTATGACAGTTTAGCCTCTGACCACAGTGGACAGGAAGATGAAGAATGGCTTTCCCAGGTAAAACTCTGATAGATCACGGTTCCTGCTGTAAGGGAGAGCAGAGCCTATGTTTATTCTTTCCTGGCAGGAAAATGGAGAGAATTGGTAACTTTGTGAGCCACCAACAATTATAAGTATTTCCACGTTAAGAATGTTTTAGAAATACTGCTGTAGATATCCACACATACAGTTTACATACATGTATGTTACTGACATTTTTCTAGCTGATGCAAATGTTTTCTTTGATGCTGAGCATACAAACTGTCCAAATGCTTTCATAAGGGTTGTTCAGCATTGTTTTCTGCATAGTTCCTGCTGGGATTCCTTTCTTATTTTGACCCAGGCCTCGCTGCTATTAGTGTCCTCAGAAGCATTCCTAAAACAGCTTCCGCCAGCCACTCCTCACTTCACAGGGTGACTGTGTCTTCAAGTGAAGCACTTTAAAATAAAAGAGACTTGGGAAGATTTCACAGTGGCGCGATTCCAGTGACTTCATTACAGATACTGTTGTGTCTGCCTCCAGTCTGACATCATTTGCGGAGGTTAATGACCTGTCTCACGTTACCAGTGTAGCAGCTTTTATCAGACAGGTGCCTCAGAGAAGTTGGACCCTTTGCGGTACTCTCAGGGAGGGTAGCCTGAGAAGCCAACCTGGCTCTAGAAGTTTGAGGAACAAACCATTTGCATGATGTGTATTTATTCCATCACCGCAACAGTGCCCGAGGATGCTTTCCAGCCGATGGTCCGGCCCCCCAAATACTGAGGCCCTTCCTCAGGGGCTCTCAAGACCAAACAAACCCATTGTCCAGGAGTGCTGGCAAAGAAACCATTATCCTTCTCTTCAGCTTTTCCTTTAGAAGAAGGGGTAATGTGTGTTGTCAGTGTGAAAGTCTAAACAATATGTTTGTCCTGCACACAGCAGGAGCGTGAATACTGGAACATCTGGCTATCGCCTCAGTAAAATTGCACAGGCATCTGTTTACCTCTCGGCTCTGTGACACTGATGGTTTTGAGCTTAAAATATACACAGTTGGTTTTTTTTTTTTTTTTTAATCTGTGCCCTAATTTACATTGCTGAATGCAACTCTCAGAATCAGAAATCACTGTCCTTGATCTTCGTGTTTCTCCCTGTCATTAGTGGGTATGTGAGTATTGCTCCAAGACCAGGATTTGCCTGTGCCCTCTTGAACTTGCACAAGCAAGTGAACCTTGTCAGTTGTGTTTTTTTCAGACTTAATCATCACAATCTGAGAATCATAATTAAATATATATATAAAAAAATCAGGACAAGGACTCAAGGCCCATGTGAAGCCACTTCATAAAGAGGTGAATACAGCATCTGGGAGACATATAGTTGCTTTTGCTGAAGATTTGCATAAGCTATTATGAAAAGGATTGTTTGCAGAGTAATTTTCAGGTTTCCCCCTGTCTTCTATTTGCTTTTTTCTCAAACTATTGAAGTTAACCCTGGCAACGCTCCTTCTCCTTCCATACAACGTGATGCTTATAAAACTTCTGAATTGCTGTTTTACTGTGTGTAAAGCCCTGTGTCAATGTTTATGACAGTTGAGAAAACATTTTGATCAGTGTCAGTTACATGAGAGAAAACACAAGAGCTCCTTTATTTAAAAATAGATGTGAGGGCTGGAGGGACAGCTCAGTGGTTAAGAGTCCTGACTTTCTTCCAGAGGACTTGAGTCCTCAGCTCCCTCATCAGGTGGCTCACAGCTGCCTGTAACTGGGCTTCCTTTGCCCTTCCTAGGCACCTGCACACATGTGTCCTCACACAGATACATACACAGAAAGAAAAGCAGATATTAAAAAAAATTTAAAAATTAGATGTGAGAGAATTTGAAAGCAACATAGATATAGTACTTTATTAAAGAAGAAAACCAGCTTCATCGGTGAAGCTATTTGAGACCATCTCTTAGCTTTGGAGAAGCAAGAACAACTCCACATTTTTCAGGAGCTTGAAAGAATTGCTCTTAGTTGCTTTCATTGCATGCCCACTTTGTTGACTGTACAAAGCCAGCCAGCCCATAAGGACCTGATGTTCCTTACACAAGGTAGACAGCCCATGTTTTTAACTCTACAACTCTTCCATAACCATCCCTTAGCCTTGGATGCTGAAATATGTCAGGGGTATATTCAGTGAAACTGAGCTCCGTCTCTGCATTTAGGTTGTAGTTTTCTTTGATAGTTTTCTTCTATTGCAAAGAGAAGTCTCCTTGATGAGGGTTGAGAACTACCTTACCTGTGGATATAATGATAAATATTGAGAATAGTTAGGAATTAGAAAGAGAGGATAGAAGTTTCCTAGGATCTTAGATTCTAAAAGCCAGGGGGACAGGAAGTTTGCTGTGAGATTGTGTCTCCTCAAAAGTCAGAGAAGGTACACCCATAAAGCCTCACCAACGTGGCTGTTTTAGTATGAGCTAAACAAAGATGACACCAGTAAACATGCTAATATGGAAGGGAGAGTACTCACAAAGCCTCACTCCCAACACCCCCCAAGAAACACCACAGGGAGCCTAGGAATGCTGACAAGAGAAACAGTCTCCCAAGAATGGGGACACAAAATGGTTATCCAATTACCAAACTCCCCAGAAAACATATAAGTAATACTGTACAGATGAAAAGTGGGTATTAAAAGAAGGGATGTGGAGATTGTGAAATTGTCTCTGGAATAATACATTGAAACTATGACTCTGTCTCTTCCTCAGGTTGAAATTGTGACACACACTGGACCCCACAGACGCCTGTGGATGGGGCCACAGTTCCAGTTCAAAACCATCCATCCGTCAGGCCAGACCACAGTCATATCGTCCAGTTCTTCTGTGTTGCAGTCTCATGGACCGAGTGACACACCGCAGCCACTTTTGGATTTTGATACAGACGATCTAGACCTCAACAGTCTCAGGTAGGAATGGGGAGCCCGGCAAGGCAGGGTTCCAGTCCCCCTTTAAAACGAGTGTCCTATGCAGTACTCGGACTTCTCCTTTGTAAGACCTATCCTGTTGTTGACTCCGTATGTTACCTGTCATTGCTCTAAGATCTGACCACAGGCAACGAGTGTTCTAGTTCTGAAACGGAGCCTTGTAAAAAGCCTCCTCAGTTTAGGCTTCTTTGTACATGTGTGTGAATGTACCTCTCTTTACCTTTCTGAAGTGGACATTGCTGTCCACTTCTTCGCCTGTGTCTTTATCATGCATTGTGCAAAAGTAGGTGTTAGTAGTATAATTCATTTGTAATGTGTACTCTCTGTTCCTTAGTTGTCTCGGTCATGTCTTAAAGTATGCTTTTCATTTCTGTTTATTTTATGATATAATTAACTATTATAGCATAATAAAGTTAACTATTTCAAATTTTGGAGCCTAGCATTTGCACACCATTCAGTTTGTCTCTTAAAGAGACACCAGTAGATACTAAGGGCTCGTTAATAGAACCTCAGTTTTACTTCCAGGACTGGGATATTCTGTGGGTTTCTCCTGTGGGTCCAGTCTGCACCTCCATCAGAAGAGGAGTAGTTAATGCACATGCCAGGCACTTAGTTCGGAGCTGGGAGCTGTTCCTAGAGGAGCCAGGACATCAATGATGCCACTTGCCCTCCTGACTTTTCTTGTGATGATCTCCAGTGTTGACCACATAACTGTCTGAACAGGAACCTTTCTCTTATCCCCAGTCCTGTTTATTCCCTTTCACAGACTGCTCAGATCTGCTTCTGAAACCAGCATCCAGGGTTTCTTTTGTTTGTTAATTTTTAAATTTTTGTTGGTTGGTTGGTTGGTTGGTTGGTTGGTTGGTTGGTTGGTTGGTTGGTTGGTTTAGAGACTGGATCTGATTTTGTAGCCTAGGTTGCCCTGGAATTCACTGTATAGTCAGGATGGCTTTGTACTTATGACTGTTCTCCTGCACCAGCCTCCTGCTGAATGCTGTGGGTTCATTCAGTTATGCAGTTTCTATCCCCGAGTATATCTGAGACTTTGAGACTCTCTTCCCTTATGTTCACCATGAAAACCATGTATGCTTTCAGTCCTTTGGCCTTGCTGGTGGCGGGGCATTGACCTTACTTTTCCTTTAAAATTATGAAGTACCTTTTTTTTTTCTGTAATCTCAATTCAACCTTTCTGTTCATTACACTGCCCATAAGCTATTATAAAGATTGGTGAAGTACTGGGTGTGGTTTCCCAGTCAACTCTAATTCTAAAGGTACTGTTCATCCCAGCATGAAGGCAGTAGCCTGGTCTGCACAGTTGAGCAGATTCAGATTCTGCCTCGCCCCCAAGAGAAGCCCAACTGATGTGCGCCATAGTGTATTGCCATGTGAGAAGTGGCCGTGTCTGGACTCTGTGTGTGAACATTCTATCCCTGACCTGCACAAACTCTGGTAGCCATGTTACTGTGCAGAGTGTTCTTACTGGCCACTGCCACATGCGCACTCTGTCATTGGCTCTGTCATCGCCCTTTGTCATGTTCTCACTGTTATTACTTATGACATCTCATTTTGAATTTTATTTTTTAAGTAGCAGTTCATGAGTAATTGTATCTGCAAACACACCTCAGATTTTACATTTAATTTCTGTTCTCTCTAAAATAACACTATGCATATCCCACTGTGAATTACCAAGAGTGCATTTATTGCTCATCTACATTGCCCGTGGCTTAGACTTTTCACTTGTAGTTACGAGTATTCGATCTAAAAAGTACCTGGAAAGTCAGCATTTATAAATTGTCCTTCTTGAGCCCCTTGATATTGTATGTAATAAACTATGTAAAAAATATTGTATGTAATAAACGTTGCTGAGGTCCAACGTGATTATTATACATTAATGAATAATCTTACAGAATATACTTCTTAGCTCCCTTGGCTCTGCAGCAGGCACAGCCTTGTTATTCTGTCTTATCCTAGTAAATAAAGTAACAGTCAGTACTGATGGCATGGGAGTGTCTTGCATCTTTAAAATTATGGCTGAATGTAGTTTCAGAAATCTTTAATTCCAATACTTGGTGGGCAGAGTCATGAAAATATCAATGAATTTGAGGCTATCCTGGTCTACATAGAGGTCCATGAAAGACAGGGCTATATAAAGAGACCACACACACACTCTTATTCATGCACACGTTACTGAATTACCGCTGTCTTCTTCTACTGAACTCAGCTCTGATGCTATTCATGAAATTGGAGAGTGTCAAAGCTGTTCATATGTTTGCTTTGGAAAAACCAACGTTTTCACTCTAAGTGTTTTGCTTCTTTTCCAATTCTCTTCATTTTTTTCACTTCAGTTTTAATTTTTCAAATCCACCCTGAACCCACCAAACTGCACAAGTTAACTAGAAGAGGTTAGAGTGAGTCTGGCAAGGCGAGAATGTCATGCTTTTTCAGCTTTAGTTTTGTGGAGGAGTTACTCCTTTTGTGTCTGGTTTTAGCATATATGGTTCTTTAATGGATTGAGCCATTCCTGCATTCCTGATTTAAGGTCTGTTGTAGGAAGTGACAGTTTCCATGCCAGTAACATATGTGAACTAAATTAAATTGCGTTGCAGGATCCAGCCTGTCCGATCTGACCCAGTCAGCATGCCAGGGTCATCCCGTCCAGTGCCTGATCGAAGGGGAGTTTCCACAGTGATTGATGCTGCCTCAGGTAGGATGCTGACAGAGCACTTCTCTGCTTTTAAAATTTATTTTCTTACACGTTAAAGAGGATGATACTCATTTTCCTTTCTCTTCAGTTTTGTTGTTTGTGGTTTTCTGTGTCTTTATACTGCAGTGTGCCTCCATTTGCTACTGAAAGCTGCCGGGCATTCAAACATTCTTAGTGTTTGTGAAGGGAAGGAGGAACTGGTCCTTGATTAAATGTAATGAACATGCTATTGAAGGCTAAGGGGTTGATGACTGTTTGCCTTTGATCACTTGAAATGTCAAGCAGCAACCTTGACTGAGAGTGTAAATACAATGTATGGATTCAATTTACTCAACCTGTGGAGTATCAAAGTGCCTGATCTGTGGAAACAGAGACAGTCCAAATTTTGTATCTTAGATGGTTTCACTGTAAAAAGTATGAAGCCTAGAAATTCATCAGCTTAACCCTGGTATTTCCAGTACAGTTCCTAATTTCCTAACATTCTAATCATCCTTTGAAGGTGCCACATTTCTGGAACATGAATCATTGTGACTTTTTGGCAGTGGTTGCTTTGTTTGTGTTATAGAGACGTTCTCAGCGAAGCTTGAGTTGTTTGTGATAATATGCTTTCTCCTGTGTATCATGCACGAAGAAAGGGAGACTGTTGCTGTGCACAGTACTGCTGCACGTTGGGAAGGTCTCAGGGTTGGGCTTAGGTCTCACAGGAGGGTGTACTCCGACTCTCGCAAGTGAATTCATGAAAAACAGCAGTCCAACAGTTGAATTAGAGTAGATTTCAATCTATGGTGGTTTCAAAGTCCCCACAAATGGCTGCTTTGATTCAGTCGTAAGCTGTGAAAGAGAACAGAACCATTAAAACCTCTTGCCTGCCTCCATCTCATCATGCATAGGCTTGGTCTGTTTTCTGGAGTCAATTGATTGTACTTTCGATCTTATCAAGCTGTCTCTATCCAGATCTACACCTTAACTTTTATGTAGGGTCTTTGGTTAGAAAGCTTTGAAATTTGACTTGCTTGGGTCACCTTTGAAGACACTTTCAAAATTACAGTATAATTTATGTGCAGCTACAGTGCACATATGCCAATCATACAAGCCAATGAGTCATACTAACAGTAGAATATTTCCACTAACAAAGGAGTTGCCCATGACCCACTCAGCCAGGACTGGCTGAGTAACTTCCGTCGGTACCGACTCAGTCAGCATAACAAAACAGTCAGCATAGTTAGCTTTTACTTTCCAGAGCCTTATGTAATTGGAATCATTTCGCGCATATACCTCAAAGCGTCTTAATTTGGGATTCTTGTAGTTTGGGCTTGAGACATGGCTCAGCGTTTAAGAGATTCTTGTAGGTATTCTGTGAACTCACTAAAGGAGTACATGGATAAAACGCAGCCACAGTGCTCTGACTTGGCAAGTGCTTGCTTTGTTTTTTGTAATATATACAGTGTTTCTTTCATTTAGACCTTTCCTCTGAGAATTAGAACTTTTCCTCTGAGATCCCTACCTCATGTTCTCCCTTCAGGACCCCAATTCTTAAGGCAATTTCTGGTTAGATGGGTGTGATTGTATTAATGAGTAATTTCTTATATCATGTAATAAAGGACATTAGTGGTCAGGAAGGAACTCTATGCAAATGACCAAATTCATGCTGTTCTAGAATATTCTGGCTTTTATGTATTTGTTCCTGGTGCAAAATGGGACAAAAAGAGTTTATGTCATGAATTAGGAAAGTAATTTTAGCTCCTGTGCTGAGGCTAAGGAGCTATCAGCGTCAGATCAACAGAGAATCTTCCAGTTTTCAGGATGGTGTTGGTGCTCTGTCCTTCCCACCACAGACGTGAGTGCAGCCACTCTTCCTAACGTTTGCTTTAATTCGTAAGGTTTTAGCCAGCTGTGGTGGCATGTGTCTGTAGTCCATAGTCCTAGCTGAGGCTGGAGGAATGTGAGTTCAGTGTCATCCCAGGCTACATAAAATAATCAAAGAGTTTTATAAGGATTTTATCAGCCTTAAGATTTAAAATTATATAATGATTTTAAATTCTGACTGGTGTAAGGGACATAAATGAAGCTTCTTCAGGGTTATGAATCACCCCAAAGGGATTCTGACAAAAGCTGACAATCACTGCTATATACATAGCAGTCAGATTCACTGGGTCTCTACCTTAAGTTTTAGATAGCTGCCATCTTCAAGATATTGAATGTAGCCAGGCATGCAATAGTAACAGCAACTTAGAAGGCCAAGACAGGACGGGCCACATGAGCCCATGTCCTGTGTCTCCGAGTTTTTAACCATATGGAGGATTGCATAGACTCTCATGTGGGGCATGACTTCTATGCAGAACTGTACTGACATATCATTGATAAAATTTGTTTATCAAATTTGTTAACGTATTGGCATATTTTATTTTTCAGTCTTCATTAACTTGTATCCAAAAATCTAAATTTTTAAAAATCCCATTAGAATTTTTGTAGTTTTTATTTCCAAAGTTGATGTTATATCTCCCCATTATTTTTATTTGTCCTTGTCACACTTGCTTAGATGTCCTTGACACTGTTGAACAGAAATAGTGATAATGAGCATGTTTGCTTTAGTCCTAGTGTGAAGTATAATAATCATGGTTAGAGGATATTTGTGTGATATTTATAATAAAATTTTCTGTTTGAAGAAAATGGGCAGATTTTGAACTAACGTGATAATTCTATGAGTCTAAAGTATATATTGCCAGAAATATTTGAGCCAGGTATGGCGGCACATGCCTATGACTTGGAAGGCTGATGTGGGGTAATCAGGAGTTCCATGCCACACACAAGACCCTGTGTGGTGGTTTGACTGAGCGTCTCCCCATAGCCTTATAAGTTTGAATACTTGGCCCTAATTGGCAGAACTATTTTAGGAAAAATTAGAAGGTATGGCCTTGTTGGAAGAAATATGTCACTAGGGAAGGTCTTTGTCTTTCAAAGGCCAGGCCAGGCCCAGTCTCAATGTTCTCTGCCTCCAACTTGTGAATAAGATGTAAGATTTTAGCTACTGCTCCAGTACCATACTTGCCCATCTGCTGCAATGCTTCCCACCACAAAGGCTGTGGACTCAACCAGTTAAGTGCTTTGTTTTATAAGTTGCCTTGGTCACGGTGTCTCCTCACAGAAATAGAACAGTAACTGAGACACACTGTCTCAGAAAGCAAGAAAAACAATTGTTGAAGGCAGCAGACCCAGCTCTTTGAAAGAACTAAGCCTTTCAAAAAGAATGAAACAAACAGAGCAGCCACATCAAGGGGTTGGTGGTTGCCAATAGCTGTCTATGCCATCTACACCTTACAAATTCAGGAGAATTTGTAAGAATTTTTACAAGGGAAACAGAAATATATGCAGGATTGCAAAAAAGTCATGAACCCATGATTCCAGGAGCTGTTGCCAGAAAGATGCAGTCTGAATGCACCATGTTTTTTTTTCCGGTGATGCTCTTCAGTTTTGATAAAATTAGACATTGGAAAGAGAAAGTGGCTTCTCAAGTTTCCCTGTCCGCATGAGAGTCTTGTCTCACAGTAGGTCAGGATCTGTGAGACGTTTAGGGTCTTTGCCAATAGACAGAAGCAATCACTTATCAGGAAGCAGTATTCATTTATAAGCAGCAAGATACTAAACACTGTGCTAAGTGTGTTCACGTGTCTTATCTCATATAATCTTCCTTAATTAGGATCACAGGTCCATTTTCCAAGTATCCCAAGAATAAATTCTAAGACACCTTGCTCCTGATACTTGGAATTACTTAAAGTGCATTATGGTGACACCTCAGATAAGTCCAAATCTCTTTCTGCCCTACCTGATCAAATATTCATTTCAAAACTGTGTGTGCTGAAATGAGCCATGTGGGAGTCAAGAGAATCAGCTATTCAGGTGGTGAAAATGTGTGAACGCAGCTGGCAGATGACATTCCAGAACGATGACTTCCCGTCTTGTCCTTGTTGCTTCGGGCAACAACTGACAGGCTTGACTGGTCATTGGCTTTCTAGTCCTGGCTCTTATAGGAATGAAATTCTTAGTGTCACAGATACTTAAAAGCCATTTCTGTTAGGGTGGATACAAACGATGCTGGAGGGTCCTTTCTCCATCGAGATGTAATCAATATGGTCTGGAGTTCTTGACCTGAACCTATAATTACTAGGGCATTATAAACGTGGCTTCTGTTGGGGACAAGCTCAAGTTCAGAGTACTGGAGCTTACTTGTGCATGGAGACGAAGACACGCATGCGCACGTGTACACACACACATACACAGTCTCTGTGTTCACTTTATTTAAGAGGCTTTTGGATGGTGTGTAAGATCAGAACATTGTATCTTTGGGACTTTGTGTGCAGAAAGAAGTTTATGTATCAGCTCTGAAACCATCCTAAGTACTTGTAGAAGCGTGACTGTAATGAGCAGCTTGTCGTTGGGAATTTTTCAAATTTCATTGCCCCAAATACCTAGATTTAAATGGAGGTTTTAAGTATAGTCAGGTGCCACACTGAAAAAGTGAGTAGAGTATGAAGAATATGAAAAAGTGAGTAGAGTACGGTGTGAAATAAGGGCAGCCACAAGGACAAGCATGGGGTTTGTTGTTCTGTGGACCAGTGCCTGTAGGATTAGGGTCACTGAGCCTCATGAAATAGTAAAGTATAGGCAAGAAGATGGGGAAGAGAAGATGGAGGCATGGGCTCTGACTGATCATCCTGGGTGTTGTGTCATTGTTTTTCTGGCCTTGGAAAGGAGGAGTAGGAGTAGGTTCAGTGGGTAAAGGCCCGAGTTTGAGACCCAGAACCCACATGTCATCTCCCCCCTGTAAATACCCTCACAATACCTGCATAAATATAGCTAATTTCTTTAATAAAAGGGTCTTTGAGAATAAGCATTATCACTTCACACATGTTTTACATGCTCAGAGCAAAGGTGGTTTGAGCTGAATCAATGATTCGCAAGCACACAAAAGGCTTTGTATCATCAAGTTAGTTCATAAACTG